GCTCTGATGACGGTTGGCATAAGAAGGGTGATGATGGTTGGAATAAGCGCTACTCGAGTGGTAGCTCTGGCAGTCGTTGGTAAACTTTGCTGTGTGAGGTTTAAGTACTTTTGTCTGGATAGTTGGTGTCATGAGCCCCACCATGATCAGACTCGTAAGTAGAATTGTTACCTCTATTAATGTTATTGTACTTCCGCCACTGTAATTGAGTAGCTTACTGTTTAAGTACACTCGTAGGTGGGTCTGTACACAATTACATTGCCGTTGCGGGGTGTGTTGTGAGCAAACTGAGCACTTGATTTTAGGGCGTGCGTGGTAGTGTTTGCTCTGTGTGATCGTAGACATTCAAGCTAAGTAAGCTAGAGCTTGTACGTGAAGTATAGATAAGATTAAGAGTTCTTTTATTGGTTTGTGGTCCTTACTGGTTGGACCATCCTTACGTGAAGTACTATCGTTGCAACCCAAGGCTTGGTGGGTTGATTATTACCTATCCATTAGTATTAATTGGTATTATCGATTGGTTGTGTTAATCTAGTGGGATGAGTGTATCTTCTCGTGACATTGAGAACATTGACATGGAGGCCCAGAACGGCTCCCAACAGTGGCATGATCATCTCGATTGGCCGCAAACGTAGAATATCACGATAAAACAACTGCGTAGTGCTAAAGCATAGTGGAATATCATCATAACGTATATACGAATATACTTTATGGGCCAACACCGTAGTGTTACACCACACGCATCTTCTCGGAGCTGGTTGATTTCGTGGTCTCACTTGTCCTAAAGTGCTCACATCCCTACGACGAACTTGCATAGGGACAAAACAATGGCAATGATCACAAACTCTCCAACTTGCACTAGTACAATACTCTTGCAATCTATCCTTCACCACACCGGTTCCATAACCAACTCGATTTTGATGAATACGATTAGCACGACGGCGTTGATCATACACTGTATTCCATTGCTCAATTTCGTGTTGTTCCACATCGACTTGACTGGTGCGGTATAAGACAGCTCCCGGTAGTTGAGACTTATGATCTTCGACAATAGCGTGAACCACCATAATGCACTATACAAATACAACTACAAGATATACTGTATTCCAACATATACTCAACGCAACAACACCTACTCTAAAACATCAGGTAAAATAATTCGTCTTTTACGGCGAATACATTTAAAAGATCAATCATTGGTACTTAAGTAGAAGCAGTCTCTGTGGAACCTGCAAACCGTAGTACATCATTAAACATGTTGACATAGGTCTTATAATCAAGATTACCTTTTTTCGCTTTCCCTTTAGCAGCTTTTTTACCTTTATTACCGGTTGGCGAAGCTTTACCAGTCGTAGAAGAAACCTTGGTCCCATTAGTCGAAGAAGTAGCCTTGTCCGACGGACAATGTCCGTAGATGTTTCAAGTAAACCGGCATTCAAAGCAGCTAATCTTGCCTTGGTTCGCTCATGGATACCCTCAGGGAGAGGTGGAACACTTACAACATTATCATCCTTTTTATTAGCATCATTGTCGCTACTACTAGATGAAGAGCTTAAGGCATCGGCATCTTCAGGATCACTCCATTGCTTAGCTTTTGCAAGAACCCTTGACGGTTTTGATGAAGTTGCCTCCGTACCTAAACATGAATGTAGCATAGCATTTGCGCACATTCTCACCTGTAGCTGCTTTACTTGGACTTGAAGAAGTACTAGCACCGTGTTGCTGTAATTGATGCTCTAACAATTGCCGTATAGGCATCCCCAACACACCAGCAGCTTCACTCAGAGCTTTCTTCTCCTCAGCGCTCATACTATTCATATATTCCTCTGCATTGCTAAAGGAAGTCGCTGATAATCTTGGCTTTTTAGCAGAGACAAAATCAAGGTTTACCGAGACATCTTTCTTTTTACGATCACTTCTTGCAAATACTTGTGAGAGATTACCAAACGAAGGACTACTGACAAGGCTCTGTTGACTCGCAGCGACTGCGAGTACTGCGACATAGTCGTCACATCACCAGTGCCCTTCTTCAGTTCAGTGAAATACTCATTGTTAGCAAGTTGAGCATCTCCTTTAAGAATGTAGTCACTACCATGATCCAAAATACTCAAGTATATAAGTATGTCTACACATAGATTAGCCAATGGAGTAATACATTCCAGTAAAGCTTCCATCTCTTTAATCATCCCAGCAGAATCAGCATGTCCATCCGGACGTAGCATTGCCCAGTTACACAGTTCAGTAGTGAAGGTATACATCGCTGTAGCCACTTCCTCTTCATCATCTTCGATCTCACTCTCTTGAAATTGAGTAACACTATTGCCAATAGGCTGAATAATCTTAGCCACATCACTCTCTATAATCAGAGTACGTAGTGGTTGGAGTACTCCAGCAACATACTCGTTGTTAATCAAGTTAGTCATATTGTCGAACGAGTCACAGAACTCCTTCAAATCTTGACCAAGAAATGAGGCAGCATATCCAGGACGACGCAACCACTCACAATTATCACCATTAAGACTCTTCATGATGTTGTCACTAGTGGGCACCAACGACGGAAAGAGACCATACTTTTGTACCAAGCACTGCGTACGCACATCGGACCACTTAGTAGTGCCCGCACGCTTCTTAGTATCATCATTGTTGTTGTTGTTCTTATTAAAAAACTGTCGACCACGTTGACCAAATGCAGACATTGATGACCAATAAAAACCTTTAGAACTGTAACTTCATATAAGCAACGCACTTTGCACAGGTACACCTCAATCCGAACAGTGTAGTCAATAGCAAACTAGCGCTAGATATCGACACATTGCGTGGCAAGCTACAACACAAAACGATGCTCTATGAACTACGCAAGCTAGTACTCT